TGGGGGGGAGGGGGGGTGGGGGGGGGGGGTTTGAAAGGATGCGAGGGGCACGTTCAAGGGATCGATGAAAACGAGGTGGTAGAGGACGGAGATGGCGTCGGGAGTGCGGGCCTGATGCTGTTGGTGTGAGCCTTGGGGGGACCGCTCTACCACAAAACCAGATGGACCTTCCCGCCCTGCAAGATGCATTACTTTCTCACCGTTGTCCTGGTGGTGGTGCTGGTGCTGGGGGGACATGTTGCCCTGGCTCATTGCGCCCGGCCCCATGCCCGGGTAGCCGGGCTGCCCGCCGACCTGGCCGCCGCCCAGCAGCATGGCGGCCAGGTTGGGGGAGAAGCTGCCCTCCCCCGCGCCGCGCATGGGCGAGATGGGCGGCGTGATGGGCCCCGCGGGCGAGGTCCTGAACATGCCGGCCAGGGGGTCCTCCCCACCGCCGTAGGCCTGGGAGGGGGGCACGAAGCCATAGCCCTGCACGTACACGGGCGCGTGCTGCTGACCGTAGGTGGCCATGCCGGGCGAGGAGGCGTTGGCCAGCGCGATCTGGCGCAGCATGGCGAAGCCCTTGAAGGTGCCACGCACGATGTCGTTGACCATGGACACCGCCAGCTGCAGCGCCTGGGGCAGGCCCGCGATGGTCACGCGCGTGGGGTCTGAGGACTGGTCGATCTGGATCATGGCGCCCGTATACTGCTGCAGCGCCTTGATGGTCTCCCCGCCCTTGCCAATCACGCGCCCCACCATGGTCTTGGGGCACTCCACCACCGCGGTCGACTTGGGGGGGACCTTGGACCCCAGCAGGTCCACCAGCTGCTGCATGTGGCCGGGGTCGGAGGAGGGGGGGAAGCCCAGGCCCTCGGGCGGGTAACCCTGCTGACCCGGCCCGGACTCGACGGGTGGAGGCTGCATGAGGGACAAGACTGCGCGGCAAAGGGGGGGGGAGAGGGGTGGTTAGGATGGCGGTATGGTGTCCAATTCATGAGGCTCCGAGTGGGGGGGGGGTGGAGGCGTCGCGCTCGTGACAACGGGCACCGGCGAGCCGAGGACTGCGCGAGACACCCGCCGAGAGTCGGACACGCGCACCGGCGGTGGCAGACATCATGGCATCGATGCCCTAGCACACCGGAGCACCCCAGATACGAAGATCGCTCGCAAAAGATAGGACCCCAGCCCAGGAGCACCACGCACCCGGTACTTGGTGTCGAATTGCAGCAGTAATGTGAGCAGTGCAGTCACTAAGAATTACGAAGCGAAAATCGCGCTATGCTCATGTAATTCCAGGTGTGACAATGCCAAATATTGATATCCGAAGGGGTCCGGCAGTTGCAGTGAAGCAATTCTCCGATGCGTCTGAGGAAGTCGCGCGGAAGGGGCTCCCCTTGGGGCAGGGGACCGTGAGTTGGACGGGGGAGTGAGCCGGGGTCGAAACACGTGACGTTGTCGCACCAGTCTGACGACCGATTGTTGTGGAGGATGGTGTGGTTCTGCCGACTCCTGGCAGCGGTGAGTCCTGCACCGTGATACTAGATCTACAAAGGGGCACGATGAGCGCCTGCCCTGTCCTCGCTGCCAACCCCGCAAGGCCGTCTCCCTTTGGGTCTGCTCCAGTTACACTCCTCGCACATTTTCTGCTGGCACAGTTCATTTGAGATTCCTGATGCGCCAAGATCATCGGCATGAACAACACAAATATTTTCTTGCTTGCATGTACATTCGAGACGTGAGACTTGGCCCATCGGGTCTGGGTCAAGTCGCCGGTTTCAACCCGGTGGGCCTGAGCTCTTCAGACCTGATGCGTCGAGCCCGGTCCGATGTTTAGATTTGCATGTCCAGATGTTTGTACCAAGGAAGCTCGGCGCATGTGTGTCCGTGACACACCACATGGTGGTTGTCCTGTACCCTAGAAGATATTTCGTGAGTGCGATGCCGCAAGGTACGGGATCGAAACAGGAACGCACTGTGCACATGAAAATACCCTGCGGCGAAGGTGATATCTCCCGGACGCATCGGTTGGCAGCTGTTCATGGCAGTGGATGCCGTACAAAGTGGGATTGAGCGGCTCCGGGTGTGAAGGAAAACAACGCACACCCTGTGAACTCACGAAGCAGCCGATCTGCCCACCACCGATCCTCCAGCACTCTCCATCTCATTTATGGGGAATGATGGCCGTGTAATCGCTGCAGGATACCCACGGGCCTTGATAGCGTTTGAGGCCCCCGACGCCAAACCCTTCGCTTGTGGGCTCATGCCCGACCAGCGAGCGCGAATGTAACGTCTTGACTCGTTCCATTACTCGCGACTCTCAATGCCTGCCTTCTTTGTGTCAGGCTCCGCATGGGGACTCCAGAGCTCCTGCGCTCTTCCGGCCCATACGGTGCCCAGGCCACGGCCATTCTCTGTTTCAGACGATCCACACCGCGGTAAACGCCAACACATCATCCCCCGCGCCTTGAACGACGCAGGTAGTCCAAAATGAGGGGTCTGTCCCCCCGGATCCGACTGCAAGACCGACACAGCCCCCTGCCTGTGTGCCACGTCTGCAGCGGCTTCCAATCCCCACACCCCCTCCCTCCCTCCAGGCAGCGGCGTGACGAGCGCGGACCGGGAATACATGCGCCTCGCCCTGGACCTGGCCTCGCGCGGGGTGGGCCAGACGCACCCCAACCCCGCGGTCGGCTGCGTGCTGGTGCGGGACTCGCCCGCCGGCCCCGCCGTCGTCGGCCGCGGCTTCCACCCACGCGCCGGCGCGCCGCACGCCGAGGTCTACGCGCTCCGCGGCGCGGGCACGCGGGCGGCGGGGGCCACGGCCTACGTGACCCTGGAACCGTGCAGCCACCACGGGCGCACGCCGCCCTGCGCCGAGGCGCTGCTGGCCGCCGGGGTCAAGCGCGTGGTGGTGGGCGTGGGCGACTCCAACCCGCTGGTCGGCGGCGCGGGGGTGGCCGCGCTGCGCGCCGCAGGCGTGCAGGTGGCGGTGGGGTGTGAGGAGGCGGCCTGCACCCGAATCAACGCCGACTTCTTCGCGCGCATGGAGGCTGCACGAGGGGGGGCGACCTAGCGCCGGGAGGGCTGCTGCGCGTCGACGCGCTCGATTCGGACACGCTTGAATGCTGTGGGATCCACCACCTCGCCCCCGCACCCCACCGCCTGCGCCTGCCTGCTCCTCCTCTGCATCCCTGGGACCCCATCTGCGTCTCTTCTTGCCCTCAGCTTTGCCATTCTCGGCATGCCTTGCTTGATGTTCCCTCGCCGCCACTGTTCCTCCCACCCAAGTTGGGCTCCTCCAGGGGGCGACCGCTGCTGGCCCCCACCGCAGTGTACCCTCGCATGTCACGGCACACCAGGCACGTGCCGCGCAAGCACGTCCGCCAGGGCCAGGCGCGAGAGGGCGCGCCGCCGCTCCAGGATCAGGTCCAGCAGCGCCCCCCGCTCCAGCGGCAGCCCGTCGTACAGGTCCTGGAAGAAAGCGCGCACAGCCTCCTCGTCGCCGCCCGGCGCCTCCAGCGCCGCCAGCACCGCGCCCAGCGCCAGTTCGCTGCCCGGACCGACCAGCGCGCCGAGCAGAGCGTGCGCGTCGCGGTGCAGCGTGCAGTGCACCCAGCGCATGAGCGCGGGGGGGTCGGACGACAGCGCCAGCAGCGCGCGGCGCAGGGCGTGCAGGGCGGCGGCCTCGCCCCTCGCCGCAGCCCGCAGCAGCGCGTCGGCCGGGGTTGCGGTCGTGCCGCCCGCACCGCCCGGCGCCGCGGCGGCAGCCGCCGCCTCTCGCAGCATGGCGTGGCGCCGCCGCTCCAGCAGGACCTGCAGGCTGCGGCGCAAGTGGTAGGCCGTGGCGCCGCTCTCCAGCGCCGCGCCGGCGGCCGAGCGCCACCAGAAGTTGACGGCCAGGGTGCCGGGCGTGCTGGCCACGCTGTGCCAGGTGCCCTCGGGGATGAACAGCGCGTCCCCGGGGCCCAGCGACACGCAAGTCATGGGCAGGCGTGGGCTGCGCGCCAGGTCGGCGTCCGCGTGGTTCAGTGAGTCGCTCCAGACCGGGTGGGCACGCAGGGTGGGGTCGGCGGTGGGCGGGGTCAGCCGCACCGTCTTCCGGCCGCAGACGACCACCAGGAGGTTGCAGTAGGGGTCGTAGTGCAGGCTGCTGGCGGTGCGGCTGCAGGGAGGCAAGGGGATGGGTGTGGAGGGTGGTGAGGGTGGGGCTGGGCGTTGAGAGAAGAAGGAGAATGTGGGGAAGGGAGACGGGGAGGAGTTTGGTGAGGGCACGCCGAAGCCCTACCCTCGCCGTGATGAGCGAGTCTGGGGGAAGCCTGGACCACGCCCCTCCTTCACCACCCACTTCAGGCTCGCCCAGAGGTTGATGGAGGTCAGGGGGGAGCCCTTCACGGCCTCAGGGATGCGAATGTCTGCCATGAGGGCGTGGAGGGGACCCGGGCTGAGGGCCGCCCCGGGCTCCGCCTGTGCCAGGGGGCACTCCGCGAGGTAGGTGCCCATCGACCCGGGGGGCCTGGCAAGGTAGGCACCCAGAGTGGTCGCCGCCAGGCAAATGCCCTCCACGCTGCCTACAAACTCGGTCCCCTGGCCAAGCATCACCTGGATATACGACTTGGATAGTGCGTTGGGTGAGGTAGAGGATCACGGCGTGCAGCAGGAAGGCAATGCATGGCACCATCAACGTTTCGTCCTGAGAGCACTGTCTCAGCTCTCAATCCACACACAAACATGACGACGCCTACCTGGACAGGGGCATCCCCTGCGAGGTCAGTCAGCCGCGAGTAGCCGAGGCTGCTCTGCCACAGTGCAAGAGCCGGCCAGTCCATGGCCAGTCCTGCGTTGAGGAGGATGCAGCGTGAGAGTGGGGGCCACCACCTCTAGAACATCGGGGCGGCGTGCCTTTCCTCGAAGACATACCCTCAAATCGCCGCGGCTCCATGGCCAATTCAAGCTCCTGGTACATTTGATCAGCCGTGCTGTTCTTCCGTCAACGACCAAGGCATCGGATATGGCCTCGACGGTGCCCGTCGGATCACATGGCTAAGCAGCGCACAATACCAGCGTGTCGACCAGTTTCCGGTATAAGAGTTATTTACATTTGCGAGAAAGCGCGTGCATTCTTTACACGCAGTTTGAGCAGAGGATCGGGGCCTCAGCATTGAAACTTACCCGTCATGCGGCGAGGAGTCGCATGAGGCGCACCAGCTGGAGCGCATGTCGACCGGTTCCCTGCAGACTGGAATCAGACTCCTTCTCTGGCACGGCTTGCAAGCGGCCCCCCGAGGCTTCCACAGCCTCGCTCAACATCCCTTGAAAGTCCTGGAGGATGGCAGGATGGGGGAGTCGGCAAGAATCACAGCATTGAGCAGCTGGTTGGGCGGCTCCTTTCAAAAATCTCTACAAATGTTGCTCTGTCTGGCAACCTCACACGGTGTTGAAGCGAATGGCTCACCTCCAGAATAGCCCGGCCATGGGTCCAGCTGGTAAGGGGTGCATATCCTACGTCCAGCACCACTCCCGTAAAGATCTCCCCTGGTCGCAGTACGGCCCGGCTGATGCCTACGTGAAAGTCTCCCACCTGGACATGTGAGCCCTGCGAGTTGGTGAGGTAGGCACAGAGAAGGCTTGGGGAGAGAGCGAGAACGTTAATGCCACTGATGCCTGAGGGAGGCTCCTTAGGCATTTGAGAGGGCCGTGGGACGCCAGTGAGGATTACCTGGCTTCAGTGAGAAGGATACAGACCCCTATCATGGAACACACTGAACAGACCCTTCCCTGCGCCAGCCTGACAAGGCATCCTCACCTCCAGATGTAGTCCCACATGTGCCTTGTACGCGCCCGCCTTGGTGACCAGGTCCGCCATCCGGGCATCACCCATCATCACCTGATCCGATTCCCTGCTTGTGTAGATAGGGAGGGGTTACATGGGCATGAGATGGCGAAATCATCGCCAACGAGGCTCTGCCGGCAGTTAATTGGGTTTCAGTATCACCCCTGCGCTGACACACAGTCACCCAGCATGGCCCTCCAGGACCGCACCAGCACACCTCAGCACCAGAGCTGACCGGTCCGAGAAGGGGGAGCCAGTCACAGCATGCACCTCCTTACCCCGCACTCCCATGTGCCTCTCCTGCGAGCAAATCGGATTGCATGTGAGAAGAGGGGACAGCACTCTGGTTCAATATCCTGGGGCATACCATGTGGCAAGGCCCCTCGACACAGAGCCCATCGACTCACACCTCGTCCATGGCTATGCGGGAGGCCAGACCCCTGGTCGAGGGATCGACTGGTGGCGCGGCACGGTGGCTGACACACTGCGTTCGCCAGGGGCCGGTTTGGGATCCTTGCAGGCGCAGCAGGGTGTACAGCAGGCAGTCGAATGCCTTCAGCTCCGCAGCTCTGTCTTTGGCACCCCAGAACAGAAGCCTGCGATGGGGATATAGGGGAGTGGCGTCCTCCAGCCGGGTACTGTTGTGGAGACCACCCAAGTTGAGGCCGGCAGTCGCTCACCGCGCCAGTACTCCCCACCTCACAGAAGGCATTCCCCCGGGGTGCACCTGCGGACAGGGAATGTCTCATCTTGGTCGTGATCTGTTGCTCTGCACATGGAACTCTCGCCTATGACTGTAGATTTTCTGTACATTGGCTAGGTACGTCTTCGCTGTTGCGACGGCTGCACTGCGAGCGCAGCAGAGGTCTCAATGCTTTGGAACTGCGCATTTAGCATATAGATGTTTCCGGATCTCCCTAACAAGAGGGTGAGGTGTCGCCTGCACCCTAATCGTGTGCCTGACTTGGCGATGGAAGTGATCCGCGACGCGCCTGGTAAGGGCGCGAGGCGTGAGAAGTCCAAACAAAAGGGAGACTCCAAGGGCGCGCAGAGTCCACCTCTTCCCGAGAGTGTATCATCTCGACATATCTGAGCTCCGACTCGGGGACACTCATCGCGGTCAGCTCGGTTGACCGCTGCACGGTCGTCATGGCCGAGACCTCCTCCCCGCTCTTTGCTCAGTATGAGAGGGAGTACGCGACGAAAAGCACAGAGGCCAGTCGTAAGATACAGTCGCTAGGTCCCTTGCGGGGAGGTGAGCGTAGGGCAGCACGTCGGGGTGGAAGATGTGTGTGTTGGACCCACGCAGAGCAGTCAGGACCAAGCCCATTTTGCACCCCCAGACCAGCGGCAGAAGCGAGTGAAGGAGGCAGAAGCAGACCTCCTGGAGGCCGAACACATTGTAAGTCGGTCTGAGTTGTGAATTTTGAGGCGTCGGTATGTCGCTCTCGACATCGCTCACTTACCATCACCATCCGCCACCCCCCTGCTGCAGCTGCAACGGCTGGACATCGAGGCGCGGTCCCTTCCCCCCGTCACCTCGAGGGCCCTCCTGCAGAAGCTCAAGGATTACAAGGCCGACATCGCAAAGCTGCGTAGCGATGCCAAAACGGCGGGGACCTCCAGCGTGGAGAGCCGGTGGGTGGCAGGAGCCTAGATTGGGGGATGGGAATGATACAATGATTCATCAGCAGGTGATGTGCCTCACCAACGTTGTCACCTTCATGTTCAACAGGGCGGAGCTGGGGCTAGGGAACGAGTACTTCCAGACCTCGGCAGGGCAGCGGGACCGGCTGCTCACCGCCACCGACAGGCTGGGCAAGACCAGCGACCGCATCCAGGCCGGGCGGCAGCAGCTGCTGGAGACAGAGGTGGGCGGTGGTTTCTCATGCTCTGGGTGCAGGGAAATAGGGGAGGGGCTCATGGTTGAGAAGGGGTCAAGGGCAGGCTTCGGTCCTCGGCTGCTCTGCTCAGCCTCGGTTCCGACGGAGAGCCCCCACGGATCCTGGGCTCATTGGACCGGGCCCCCCCCCCTTGCCCGCTCCATGCTGAGCAGGCGGTGGGGACGGCGGTCCTGCAGCAGCTCGCGGGCCAGCGGGCGGCCATCCAGCGCAGCAGAGACTCGGCAGCGTCCGTGGGGCGGGCGGTGGCGGAGGCAGACGCCGCGACACGGCGGCTCGCCAAGCCCTGGTGGCAGCCGTGGGGCTGATGCGCACGGTGCCTCTGGCGGGTCCGCAGCCGGCAGTCACGGCGGCGACGCTGATGCCCCAGTCCAAGACGGCAGCCGACAGCCCTGATAGTTTTTGGCCTGAATCTCAGCTTCAACAGACGTCAAAACCCTCCAATCCCTCGACCCCCAACCATGCTCAGGAGCTGGGTATCTCGGTGCTGGGGGACCTGCAGCGGCAGCGGGAGACCATCCTGCACTCCCGCGACGCGCTGGCGGGGGTGGACGAGGGGATCAGCCGGTCGCGGGCCATCCTGTCCAGCATGTCGCGCCGCATCATGCAGAACAAGATTATCATGTGGGGCATCGTGGCCCTACTCCTGGGAGCCATCGGGCTCATCGTGTGGGCCAAGCTGTCCTGAGGGCCCTGGGTGGCGGCGGCACAGGGGGGAAACCGCCCACCCCTGCATGCATGCTGAAAGGCTCTCTCATGCTGGTTTCGTGTAACAGGAGAGCACACCTCCATGGGCGATGTGAGTGGAGGTCACGCGAGTGAGAGGTGTGCTGTGACACAGGCAGTGCCCCACGTCCCACGTGGGCGGGAGCTGGACTGGAACCTGTACCGAATCCGAGGTAATATAATCAGGGGGGTTAGATCCGCCGCGACTCTGAATTTCCAGGCTCGCTGGGGCATGCAGTGCGCCGGTGGCCGAGCTTCGTACCTTCTGAATATTTGATTTGTTGATAAACTCCTGTGCTCTCCCGAACGAGGCGCCAGTCATGTCGTGCTTCTCTGCCTCGACCGTGCAAGGTACGGGAGCTGGGGAGGATACTTATGAATCCCCATCCCAGCGCGTGAGGTCAAGACTGACCCTCCAAACACTACCGAAATTCTACAGGTCCTACCGTAGGATTTATCCATGGTGTGGCGAGTTTCGATCCCCTCCCCAGTGCGGTCATCATCTGGACCCGGCTAACCCTGCCGGCAGGCAACAGCGGCCCGGCTGATGTGGACTGGGTCGTCAGCAGAGACCCCGAGTTCAAGAGCATCCAGTCCAGGTGAGGCATCAAGGCGCAATGTGCGGCGTTACCGAGCTCGAGGAGCTGGCGATGATGTGGATGCGCTCTGCACCACAGGGTTGCTGCTCGAGTCTCCTGCGTGCCAGCAAGGAGAGCTCCCTTGCTGATGACCAGCACTGCCCCCTTCCCACACTTCCACCTCATACAGTGGGACCTACGCCACTGGACCTCACCGCGATTACACTGTCGCCATCGATGTGACTTCTCTTGAGCCAGTGACCAAGTGAGCCGTTGCTTGGCGTCGTCGAGTCCAGCTGGGAGCGAATTCTTGCTGCGCTCAGAGATCTGCTCCAGCCTTGCATGGAGCGTGTTGCTGCATCCTCGTACTCGCACATTGAATCGTTTTCATGAAACGCGCTGAACGCACCGCAGGTACTATTACCGCTTCTCCCATGGCAAGCTTTTGAGCCCGACCGGCATCACCAAAACCACGACGCATGGGCCACTGGAGAGCATGATCTTTGGCGCCGTCAGCTGTGCCAACTGGGGTGAGTCAGCAGGATGCTCCTTTCTGCTCATGTGTTTGCACTCGAGCTCTGGAGGGTTTCCTGTCATCTTCTGTAGGTGTTGTGGGCCAAGCCTTGCTGTCATTCCTTGGTGAGCTATCTCATTGACCATACCGTGTATCACATTCCTCCTCCCTTGGCACACACAGGCTTTGGATACTTCCATGTGTACAATAGGCTGGCTAAGGTTGATAACCTTGACTTTGTCGTGCAGGGAGGTGAGTCATTGGGCCACTGCTGGAGAGGGTGAATCAGGGGTGGGGCCTGAGAGCATTCGTGGTGGATCTTGCATGTTTGATGGCGCTGCTCGCTCTCTGCCAGACCCCCTAGCACGTTGGTTGCAAGGCCGCAATGCAGAAACTGCCGCACTTCCGCCTCAGGTGACTACATCTATGAGTATGAGCCTGGTTTCTACCCTGATCCCCCCTTTGTTGGCCGCGGAGGGCTCAAGCCCGAGCACCGGCTGAAGACGCTGGATGACTACAGAGAACGCTATGCGTGCTACCGCACCGACCCAGACCTCCAGGAACTGCACCGCAAAGTGCCCATGATTGCAGTCTGGTGGGTAGTCAAGGTGGTCCATGTATTGTCGAGGGTGATGAGAGACGGCCTGACCTGTGCTGAGAGGGGTCTGCAAGCGACCTTCAATCAGCAGTCTGCCTCTTGCAACAGCATTCACATCACATGCGAGTGGCACTGGCACTGCCTCTCTCCAGAAGTGGTCTTACTTTTGTGCCTGCAAGCACCTCTGACTCACCTCTCTGATCTCCACAGGGACGACCATGAGATCGCTGACTCGACATGGCAGCATGGGTCAGAGGACTTCAAGGGCTCCAAGGAGGAGTGGGGTGTGCAGAAGCTCCAGGCACTCAAGGTGGGTGTCTTTTGAGCACTTCAACATGCTCCTGCAACCAATGTGATGCCTGGCCTGCTGCCATGGCTGACATAGCCACAGCAGCCGGACTGAGGGCCTGCGGCAGAACTCATTCGGTGTCTCCACCAATGACGTGGCGCCGCCATGCTCCAGCCCCTCCATCCCCTGGCTGCACACAGGCATACGGCGAGTGGATACCGGTGAGGGGTTTCGATCATGACAACATCACCCTGGACTTTGCGCATCGCAGCTTCCACTTTGGCAACCTTGCGAGCCTGGTGCGCAGGAGGGGCAAGGGTGTGCCACGCAGGGGTGATGGGATGCTGGCCGCCATCCCCGCGGCACGGGAGGAGCGTGTGTGATGTTACATGAGCAGGCCAATGGATATGTTTCCTTCCCGGGTCAGACCCAGGGTCTCCCTTTCCCACCGGGTCTCACAGTCTTCAAGTGCACACTTCCCCCTCTGCAGGTGACCATCGAGAACCGGGCCAGTGCCCGGTCCGAGCCGGTGGACGTCGCGGAGACCAGCTTCTACAAGGAGACGGCGCAGAAGAAGCTCGAGGACTGGAACGATGACACGATCAAGAAGGCCAGGGTCGAGCTCCTCGAGAAGCTGAGGGACCCCAAGAAGAAAATGATTGGTGCGCGTCGGGAGTTGAGGGAGGGATCTGTGAGCTGGCAGTTGGGGCGATGTTTTGAGTATAGTCCCGTTTATTATGGACGGCGTGTCCCTGTTGGGGAGGCGCGCATCATCAATCCATTTCAACCCTGCTCTCACCTTTGTCTCTCTTGCCACCATCTCCAACCTTGCCTCAGGCGAGAAGCAGGTGGAGAACATCCGCAAGGTGGTGGCGGAGTCCATCGCGGAGGACCGTCCCTGGCAGATCCTGTTGAGCCAGACCATCATGAGCCAGATCAAGGCGCCGCTGCTCCAGGAGACGCTGCACCTGCAGCCCAAGCTCCTGCGCAAGCTGTCGGGCGGGGCGCTGAACCTGGCCATGGACGAGAAGAAGGCGGGAAAGGAGGGCGCCGAGCAGGCGCGCATGTACGTCGGCCTGGGAAAGTATGGTGTTCCCATGAACCCCGACGCCTGGGACGGCTTCCAGGCCGAGCGGCGCAAGGTGAGGGGACTGATTGCTGGTGTGGTGGGGTGCCTGTGGCTGGCCCCTGGCTCTGATACAGGCGTGCGTGTGCCTGGCTGGTGCATCACGTTTCTTGGGCACGTCTCGGGGCGTGCCCGGAGCCCCGCACGAGGCCTTTGTCATGCACACTGGGGAATCGTAGATCGATCTCAGGTCTGCACAGCCACCCCTCCAGCTCCACCGTCCTGCGTCTCAGTCTTCCCACCTGTGCACCCCCCCCCCGCACATCAGGTGATTGAGGCCCTGAACCAGGAGGGCGCCAACCCCGTCATCATTGCCGGGGACAGCCACAATGCTTGGGCGCACAACCTGGTGGACGAGGAAGGGCAGCGGCTGGGCGTGGAGTTTGACGGGCCTGCCGTCACCTGCATCGGCGCGTTCGAGGACATCTACAGCCGCTTCAAGGCCAAGGTTGGTGCACGGTGGGCACACATCCGCACGGCTTCGCTTTTGACCCCCCGCAGACCTTGCCCACCGTCGTAGCTCCCGGGGTGGCATGCCTCACATGGCCCCCCTCCCCCACGCAGGCGGGGCCGCTGCTGAACCCGTTCCCCCTGTACCTCTTCACCCCTTGGATCGAGGACTCGCTGAAGGCCGCCAACCCCGACACCCTCCAGTACTGCAACCTCTGGGTGCGAGTGGCCTGGGCTGAGCATGGGGTTGCTGTGTGTGTGAGGGGAGTGCCTGTTGGCAGTGTCACAGCAGGCCTGCCCCCCGTGCTTTGTTATTCTTGTGCACAGGGCACATGCGCAAGTCCCAGCAGCGCATGTGAGCACAGACTGACAGGTGAAATTCCTGTTACTCCTGGCACCCATTTGGCGAGCATTGTGCTCAACTCCTGCTCTCCACCTCCCTCCGCCCCTCACACAGCAACGTGGCTTCATGCTCTTCCACGTCACGCGCGGCAAGTTCCACACCGAGTACCACTTTGTGAGCAACGTGAAGAAGCAGAAGAAGTTCCGGCACTACTGCGAGGCCACCTTCGAGGTGCACCGGAATGAGAAAGGCAACATGCACCCGGCCGTCAGGTGACCGGCTGACGGGATCGAGTGGTTGGGATCGGGCCCTCACAAGGGTCAGCTGGTCTGCGGCTCCAGAGGGACGCCCCAAGATTGCAGGACCTGCAGGCACGCAAATGTTCCAGCCTCAGCGGCAGCCTCCACCCCTGCCCCGCAGGTACCTGACCTTCGAGGGTGTCATCCCCAAGCGGGCAGTGCAGCGTGCCAGCTTCTTCGTGCAGTACACACACGATATCAGTCTGGCCATGCACAAGAGTACCTGAGAGGCAGCACTGGGCTGGTCTGTAGGACCATGTGTGTGCAGTGTCGAGCCCTGGCATCTCTGCTGCCGGCGAAGAACAGGCATGTGCTCGTTGCCATTGCCTGAGGAAGAAAACAGGCCGATCAGAGGCCCCTCTCTCTCCACTTCTGACTACATCACCTTCAGTGGGCGTCGGCTCACGTCGGGCCCACGACTCCGTCCCCTGCTTTCTCCCTGCTTCTGGGTCTGTTGCACAAGGAATTGTGGCATGCAGCTACAGTGTCAGGTCTGGGGGTCAGTGGGGGTGAGGTGTCTGGTGTTTGCAACCCAATCGCAGTGGTGGTATTGGCCGATGCGGGTCGGGGGAGACCGGTGGTGCCGGACCCGGCCCGTCCATCCACCTAGACAGCTCAGCATTGCGCCAGGGGTTCCGCAAACAGGGGGTTCTGGAAGTTGCTGGGTCCAGCAAGGTCGGTGGCGGCAGCCGGCGCAGACCCGGCGAGCACTGCATGCACTGCCCCAGCCAGCGCCTGCAGTGCGGGGCGGCGGCCCAGGGAGCGGGCCGCCGCCTCCACGGCTCGCAGCGTGCCCTCGCTGCTTGCCTGAGCGGTGCCTGCACCCGAGAACGAGGAGTTGTGTGAGGGCTCTGAGGTGGGCAGCATGGGGCACCCTCATGCAAGCCATCGAGCCCCGCGGTCGCAAACGCAAACTGCCCCACCGCCTCGCACACACCGGGGGCGCCGACCACGCGGGGTCCCAGGAACTGGGTGGCGGAGGGTCCGGCGAGGACGTCGACGCTGACGCGGGCACCCGCGGCGAGGTGCAGGAAGACGAGGCGCAGCGGCAGCCCCGTCGTGGGGAACGCTGCCGCGGTTGCGGCCCCCGGCACCGCGCGCACGGCCGCCAGGCTGGGGCAGGCGCTGAGCAGGCGCTCGACGGTGCGCACCGTCATCGCCGCCGCCGAAAGGCGTGCCGCCAGCGTCTGCAGCGTCGCCAGCCGGCCGGCCGGCGAGGAGGGTGCGGGCAGGCGCGCCCGCAGCGAGGAGGCGTCCGTGCCGGAGCCCTCTGCCCTCACCACCTCGATCCCGCGCACGGCGGCACCCAGGCCCAGCATGGCGACCTCTCGAGCTGGGCCTGGGGCGCGACTCAGGCCCAGTCCAGGACGAGATCGCCGGGCGGGCCGGGGACGGTAGGGCACGACAGGAGGTACACGCCGCCCACCTGGAAGGCGAGCGCGGCGCTCTCGGGCGCCCGCCCCCCCGGCGCGACC